AGTATCCTCAGGTCCAAGGATACCAGTCATCTTTCCTATACATATGGTTACAGAAGGGCTTTGTCACTCAACTGTTTTTATTAATATTTTTTTCCTAAGGGAGATCTGTATCTCTTTTTCCCCAGACCAACCACAATGGCACTTAATTCACTGCAAATCCTGCCCTAGTTGAAATCCAAAAGAAACTTGTTCCCTTGATGGATGTAAGCATTTCTGGAGTTGTTTTCCCCACCAGCTGTGGTTCCAGGTTATACAATCGACCTTGGTATGCTTCAGTGAACAATAAACTAAGTAGCCAGGTCACCAGGGTGGGGACTAGCAACTCCCTGGCTTCCCTAAGCTACCGGCTCAGCTTCTGGTATTTAAATGCCACAAAAATAAGAGATTTACCACTAATGACAGTCTCTTTGTCCCTAACTCCACCATGCCTACAGCCTCCTTGCATTTTAATTAGGGCCAAGAGTACATTCCCATTCCAGGCTGAAATCCAATGCTCCCCAGCCTTTATTCTTAGGTGGCACAGCTTAAAGGATAAATTCTTTTCTTGTGTGTATGTGCTTCATCTGCCCGAAAAACTGGAAAGAGTGAAGGCATGGGAACTGGGGGAAGAAGAGGAGCATCCCAGAAAAACATTTCTTCACCTGCTACTGTGTGTGTGTGTGTGTGTGTGTGTGTGTGTGTGTGTTTTCTTTCTTTCCTAACTTCTCTTTGCAAGCCAGATGTTAAGGCATGGCACAGCTGGCTAAGTAAGGCTCCACTGTCTGCTTCTGGAAATCCAGACTAGGAACAGCCCTAATTGGTCCCATTTATTCTCTTTTTTTGGTCCTCCCACCTATTTCTCTTAGGTCAAGATCATAATCTTCTCATATAAGGATATTCACAGAGAAGCTGCAAGGGTCAGATCCAAGACATACATTTTCCCTTCCTCCTGACACAGAGACCTCTGTCTTATCAGAAGTGCTGGGCATTTAATACAGGCAAATGGGACACGAGGAATGAAATAGAAAGAAATTGCAACTATCTTATAGGAAAGAGTCTGTTTGTTCTATTGATACTTAGGTGACTGGGAAAATGGCTGAAGCCAAAACTCAGTTCCCATGGAGCCCTTTTTTCTGGCTGAACTTCACTACCTGCTATGCATGGAGACACACCTACATATTCCACCATTCTCCATAGATTCAATTTCTGCATGTTTAAATACAACAGATCAAATATCTTGCTTACTCAATTCCAATTCATTCATGTGTTATCCATACCAACATAATTTTTACTTGATATACTGAAGCTTAGCCCATTATAGATCCAGGATCTGATTGATGGAAATTCATAAGCTAAGAGAAGCATTTTTAGGATGGGTAAATGGGAAACTGATAGTTTGTTTCTATATTGTCAGATTAGACTAAAAAACACCAGACAGTCACTCATTCTATATAAGCTGCCCCCCGACCCCACCCCAGTTTTTCCAGGTGGGCACTACTGATCTGGGGCAAAACTGAGTAAGAGTTCTGGGGGAGAATTAAAAGCAAATGAAGGGAGACCTACAAAACATGTCTTATTACAACTAGTGCTGGGATTAGGATGAGATGTGTGTGGCAGTCATGTAAGTGTTAGGGGATCTGTTTTTAAAATATTAATATTTTATTCAAGGACTTTTTTGCATTATCTATACTAATAAAAGGGTAATATGCTAGTTAAACGGGGTTAACCGAACATCTTCCGGACATCCGGCTTCCTTCTGGACAAAGCCACGGTGGCAGGGGCTGAGGCAGAGGCGGTTAGGGGCAATCAGGCCGGCAGGGGAGCAAGCCATTAGGGGCAATCAGGCAGGCAAGGAAGGGCAGTTAGGGGGCGATCAGACTGGCAGGGGAGGGCAGGCCTAAACTGGCAGTCAGACATCCCCCAAGGGGTCCCAGATTAGAAAGGGTGCAGGCCGGGCTGAGGGACACCCCCCTCCCCCCTCCAGTGCAGTGCACCAGGCCTCTAGTTTTAATTATAAACATTCAAAAATAATTTTAACTTTTTAAATTTATTTCTTTAATTGAAAAATTTTTAAACCCAATTATTTTTCTAGGTAACCATTTTTCTTTAAGACAACCATTATACTTTCATATGGAGAAGTATTTTATGCATATTTCCCAACCTGTCACAGGAAATATTAAAGAGATATACTTAAGAATCATGATTTAATAAAATTAAGAATTTGTACTACTTCATCAAGGATATTAAGTGAGATTGACTTTTTTAAGTACACAGTGCCAGAAGTTTTACTCACCATTAATTTTGTACCATCAATGCCAATACCAATACAGTGAAAAAGGTAAATAATATCTTAGAGTTATTATAAAAATCACTCTGACTCCACTCTGATTCCTGAAAGGGTCTTCGGAATCCCCCAGGATCTATAGACTACACTTTGAGAACTGCTGCCTTAAAGAATAAGGTTTTTGTTTTGTATTTTTTAATCCTCACCTGAGGATATGCTTTTTTTTTTATTTTAGAGAGAGAGGAAGGAAGAGAGAGCTAGAGACAGAAACATCAATCAGTTGCCTCCTGTACTCGCCCTGACCAGGGATTGAACCCACAACCAGGTATGTGCCCTGACTGGGAATCAAACTCACAACATTTTTGATGCATGGAACACACTTCAACCAGTTGAGCACCCAGCCAGGGCCATAAGCTTTCAACACTATCCATAACATCATCCGTTACAGGCCAGGATCCTCAGTCAAATGGGGGCAACATAGTTATGGTTATCCCCAGTTAGTTTGCAAAAATAAGTGGTAAAGAATTGAAGCAAATTGACTCATCTGTCATATAAATAGTTCTGAGGCATATTTAAGGCTAAAGACCAGGTATGAATGAACAAGATGTGAAAGAATCTGAATGCCATGAATATAATCAATGACCATTTTAGGGCAAACGAGTGGAGAAATACCACCCCATCCCTCCCTCACCTCCCAGCCTCCCAGGAATGAGGGAGCGGAGGAAACTACAGCTGGGCAGGCAGATCCACGGAACATACCACTGAACATGCCTAGGCTGTTCTGAGATCCTGGGGCCTGCCTGCCTGGCGTCGGAAGCTTTCTTCTGACACTTCCCAGCAAAGCCTTGGGCAACTTCCAAAACCACTGTCTCATCAGTCTCCTCGTGTGTAATATGAATATAATATTAACCTTCCTCACATGATTGTGGTGAGGAGTACAAAGCATTGAGCGCAGTGCCTGGGAGAGTAAGCACTCAGTACGCATTATCTTACTAAAAATAAGAAACATACTGTGTATTGATTCACTGCCCAGCACTCAGTAACTTTCGCCACATGTATAAGTGCTTCATCAGCCCATTGTCTCGCCAGTGTCAGGTGTTAGAAAAGGTTACTGCCTCCCTCCAGCTACACCGGGAAGCCTGTCTGGACCTGTCACTTCATTCTTGCTGCTTTTAGGGCAGAGGCTTTCTCACCAACAAGAGAAATCTGATGCTTAAATAGGAAAACGCATATAGTAATGGGCAAATCGGTAAAAAAAGTGGAAGTGTTTATTATATGGCAGAATTACACTTCATCTTTTCCTAAAATTGTTTTTACTGGTGTTAAAGGCATGTCTGAAAAACAAAGGAATTGTTTTAAAAAAATTGAAACGAGCAAAACATTTAACTTATCAACAGAAAAACTTATCAGCCTTGCTTTTTTGCTCTTCTCTGTGGCAGACAAAATAATGCCCCCCACAAATGATGTCCACACCTAATACCCAGAACCTGTGAGTAGGGCACCTTATACAGCAAAAGGAATTTTGAGATGGGGAAATTATCCAGGATGATTCTGGGGGGCCGAATGTAATCACAAGGGCCTTTAAAATGCAGAGGGAGGCAGGAGTCAATTAGAGAGATGTGCACAGAACAAAGGCACAGAGAAATGCAGCACTGCTAGCTCCTGAGACGGAGCCTGGGGCACATGTCAAGGAACATGGCCGGCTGCTGGAAGCTGGAAAGTTCAAGGAAACCCATTCTGCTGAGAGACTCCTGAAAGGAATGCTGGCCTGACAACACCTGGATTTTAGCCGAGTGGCATCCAGGTTGGTCCTCTGAGCAACAGAACTGTAAAATAATAACACTGTGCTGTTTAAGCCACTAGGTTGGTGGTAATTTGTTACAGTTGTAAACAGAAAATGAACACAGCCCCCCACGGTTATCCAGTCACCCTTGCAGCCAGGTTACTAGGTGAGGACTAGCAACTCCTCTGGCTTCGCCAAGCTCTCCAGTGCAGCTTCCGGCCATTGAAATCCCACAAAATCAGGTATTTAGCACTAAAGACAGTGCCCCCTTGAAGATTTGGATTCAAGAGGTTTGGGACACAAAAATATCCATATTTAACTGGTGATTCTATTAGAGATGGTTGGTGGTTCACACTCAGAGACATTCATTTCTATGCGTAAGGAGTTGACAATTTAGGTACAGAGTAAATGCAATTCTAATCCCTAATAGATAAAGAAATATGCATACCTCCCAGACAGGTCAATAGCAAGGGACAAGAGTGAAAGGCTGGAAATGGCCGGGAACACAGGAATCCTTCCAAATGCTGATGATAACAAAAACAGTTTGCAGCCCAGCCAACATGGCTCAGTGGTTGAGCCGTTAACCTATGAACCAGGAGATTACGGTTTGATTCCCGGTCAGGGCACATGCCCAGGCTGCGGGCTTGATTCCCAGTGTGGGGCATACGGGAGGCAGCTGATCAATGATTTTCTCTCATCATTGATGTTTCTAAATCTCTCTCCCTCTCCCTTCCTCTCTGAAATCAATAAAAATATATTTTTTAAAACAAGCACAAAAATGGTTTGTAGAATTAAGCCAGATGAGACCTCTGCCTGCTCTCCCCTCTGTGGCCAGTGCTTCAGGCTTGGGAGCAGGTCAAGTAGACCTGGCAGCCTTCTACACTCTCAAGGAGAAGCATCCCCGAGGAGCACAGACCTGAGCCGGACCCCTTCCTGGCCTCCCACCTGTCCCACCTGTTTCTTTAGGAGGAGGTGGTGAAGTGCTGGTCCAGGGTGTGTCATCTTCAAATTGAACCCAGTTGCTGATGGCCGAGGCCAGGTCAGATGGGGGCTGCTCAGGGCTCCCAGGAGGAGAGGCCGCTTCAGAGATGAGGCCCATCTTCTCGGAGGAGTCATCCTGCTCTGAGTGGGAAAGGTCCTGAGAGCCTCCATCCGCCACGTGGTTCTCCCCGGAGGAGCTCTCGGACTGGTCTGAGGAGGATGACCGTCCCGGGAGGTGCCCTTCGGTGGCCCCTGAAACAGACACCAGACAGCACATCACTTCACGTGCGAGGACGGAAAAACAAAGGATGGGCAAGGGGTGATCACAGGACTCACCATTACAGTGAGTGAGGGTAAGGCAACAGTCATGCCCATCTGCCTCTAGGCCAAAGGAGTGTTTTCCTAGCAATGATTTCAAAACTATAACCTCAGCATGACCAGGCTGAGACGGGGGTAGTCTTGTTCACTGTTCTTATCTCAGCATCTACACCAATTCTTGAGGGTCACAACTAAAAATGCCCACAGAGGCCAAGCAAGAAATATAACTGAGTCGAAGGAGAAAAGCAAAAGGCAATAGGGACTAATAGAGAGTATGGCTGACCTGGAGAGCTCCTGTCTGGACTAAAGACACTTCAATTTAAACCTCAAACTCCACACAGTCCTAATTACACACCTGCAGGCTACCAGGTGCAAACCCTGCACCAGTGATAACTAAACATGGCAGAAGCTCTTCCCTCAATTTGTTTCACTTTATTGGTCCTGAAACATTTAACAGCCTTCAAATAATTGTGTTTTTTTTTAAAGAACTATACTCTGGTTGTGGTGGTGGTTACACACATCTATACATGGAAAATTCATCAACTGTATATAAAAAGTGGTCCATTTTACTGTGTAAAAACTTTTAAAAATATATTTTTATTGATTTCAGAGAGGAAGGAAAAGGGAGAGATAGAAACATCCATGATTAGAGAGAATCATTGACTGGCTGCCTCCTGCATTCTCTCCCCCTACCCCTGCTCCCACACTAGGGATTGAATCCACAACCAGGGCACATGCCCTGACCAGGAATTAAAACGTGACCTCCTGGTTCATAGGTTGATGGTCAACCACTAAGCCACACCGGCCAGGCACTTTTTAAAAACTCAAACTAGCAAATAAATTAATAAAGCCTTTAGATTAGCATGGTCAAATAAATAAATAAATAAATAAATAAGCCACATATGTACTTTTAAATGTTCTAGTAGCCACATTAAAAAAAGGAAGAAGGAACTGGCAAAACTACTTTTAATAACATATATTTCAACCCAGTATGTTGAAAATTTATAATTCCAACACGTAATTGGCATAAAAGTTGTTAATGAAAAATTTAACTTGTACTAGGTCTTTGAAATCCAGTGTGAGTACTTCACACTTTTAGCACAATTCAGTGCAGACTAGCCACACCTCCAGGACTCATAACGAAAGCACACCTCGGAACTCACACCTGCCAGGTGCTGTGAATGAAGCGGGCTGGTTTCGGTTTAGCAGAGGCAGCTGCAGTAGAACAGAACCAGCTGACATGGCTGCAACCATCTCCTGTACCCTACCTTGAACTTCGTGCCTTGGCACCAGTTCCTTGGAGGTCAGGTTGGCCCTCTTCATCATGATCATGGGTGACAACTACAGAGCTTTTCCATGAGCCAGGCACATACATTAATTCATTTACTCCTCACAACCACCGTGAGGTAGGTACTGTGGTTATCCATGCTGCACATAGACTGCCACACAGAGATGTTGAATAAAAAATCTATCCAAGGGCATGTCACTCATCTGTGATGGAGCCAGGATTTGAGCCCAAGCCATCTGCCTCTACAGCCTGTCACTCTTAACAGCTACACTTTAAAATTTGAGAAAATCCAAGTTGCTGCTGGGAGTAACAACCCAAAGGGCTGAGTGTAAAGTACATTGTAAATAGAAAGTTTATGCTACTTGGAAGAAAGCAGCCAATACTTGTGCTGTTTCCAGGCCCTTGTGTGGGAACCCAAGGTTCCTAAGATGCTTCCTCCAGGTTTCTAACCAGAAGAACCTGCATCTCAGGAAAGTGACAGACTGGCTCTTTTTTCCATATGAAGATTCCCCCCAAAGAATAATCAAGTGGAAGCCATAGCAAGCAGGTGTGGTTCTTTGCCAATCCTTTCCCTTAGGAAATGAAAGCACCACTTACCCTCAGAAGGGATGGGAAAGAGTGGATCCTCATTGAAGGAGACCCACTCCGACTGCTGGGTAGCGATCACATGGTCCAAGGTCGTCATGCTAGGAAGGTGCTGGTCATCTTCACACTGCTGGCCTCAGGCAGACCCCAGAGTCATGTCTGGGGTGGGTAAGGGTGTGGTAGCGGGTGGACTTGGGCCTAGGAGTCTGTTACAGTGATCTTGCAGGTGGCAGCACTCAGAATGTAGACAGATTGTCTTTGATTAATCTGCCAAGAAGAAATCTGTTTTAAAAAAATAAAAATTTAAAAGGATACCATCACATTATACCCACTCTACTCAGATCTAGGGCCTTTTTAAAATATATATATTTTTTTTATTGATTTCAGAGAGGAAGGAAGAGGGAGAGAGAGATAGAAACATCCATGATGAGAATCATCGATTGGCTGCCTCCTGCACACCCCGCACTGGGGATTGAGCCTGCAACCCGGGCAAGTGCCCTGACCAGGAATCGAACCATGACCACCTGGTTCATAGGATGATGCTTTACCACTGAGCCATGCCAGCCAGGCAGGTCTTGGGCTTTCAACACTACCCATGAGGAGGTCTGGGTGGTGCCCACTGGCCTTACTTTTCTGTGCCCCTGTCTTGCTCCCACTTCTCATAGGGAAATATTTGCCTTTAGCATCAAGATCTCTGCATGTGCCTCCATATCAGACTTGTAAATAATTACACAAATTTAAGCAATTAGATCCCCCAGTTTCCCCAATTATTTTAGTATGGAAACGTTTCTAACTATAATATAATGCCATCATTGTAAAACAAATATTAAAATTGCCCAAAGTACTTTCACATTCTTTTACCAAATGGTGAAGTAAACGCATGCTCTTTCCTATTAAATCAGTGTAGTTTCTTGCCTTAGGCAGGTAGCTCTTGGCAAGCCTGAGTTAAAATGTTGGCAGAAACCCAACAATCTCCAGATGGTATATCCAAGCACGGTTTACCAATAAAAGAAAAAGAAAAGAAGAAATGGAGTCATTTTGTTCATTTGGAGTAAGGGGGTAGGGCATATTTGCTTTAGTGAAAAATGTGCGTTAAACACATTCTGATTCTAGGCCGATGTGAATTAGTACATAAAAGCCTAGCCTTTACTTTTACTGCAATTACATTCTAAGTATATAGAAGGATACTTTACAGACTTATAATTTTGTTTGTAGTATTACTGCCCTTATACAACTTTAACCTTGCTCTTACTTTTATGATGACTTAATAAAATCTGAATTAATGCAAAATTAATGTGTTTCTGCAAAAGAGCTACTATCCACCTTGTACAATATTAGTTCTTACTAACTCACTACTCACAGTATTCATTTTAGTCTAGAAGAGTTAAACTCATAGCCTTCTAAGTGGTTCACAATAAAAAGAAAATTTTATTATAGGTTATTACCTGCAGTAAGTAATCTGTGCTGTGGAAAATCAGCATTAAAAACATTAACAGCTTTGGGGGTTTTTTGTAATTAAAACAATTCGTTTTGTTGTATGATGCTCCCTAAAAACAGCTAATGTTTGTATAGAATTTATAATTTTCAGAAACGTATTTTCACACCATAATTCATTTGATTCAATAGTCACTTTAGTAGAGTAAGACAGGTATTAATATCATTATTTTATAGATGAAGAAATCTGCGTTGGATAAGTGATTTATCCAACAGTTTTTTTGTTTTGTTATTTCCAGGTCCTTGTTTTGTTTCTAAGCTCCTAAGATGTTTTCTCCAGGCTTTTAAGTGAAAGAATTCTTATATCCCAGGACACTGACAAATTAATTCTCCACCCTCCCCCGCCCCCGCCCCCATAAATGTCACCCAAAGAATGATCCAGCAGAGGCCATAACAAGCAGGTATGTTAGATATGACCCTTGAACCCAGGTCTTTCAATGCCAAACACTCTAATCTTTGGGTCACAGACACAAAAAAAGTACTAGAGAATATAAAAAAAAACTACCACTCAACTGAAACAATTTACAAACATCAATTACGATGGAACCATGATGAAATGATCTGTGAAACTCCCCATGTGGAAACCCGCTAGGGCACCCAAGCTGTACAGAAAATGCAAGGCCCAGAAATCTCTCTCCCAAGTTGCTCTCCTAAGATCCTTACCAGCCACGGACCAGACATGTGCAAACCGTCTGGAGGATGTAGTGCTCCAAACCAGGTCTCCCAAAGAACCACATAGAGCCCAGCCCCCAAGAGCTGATTGCACAGGCTTCTCCCATGAAGCCTTTCTCTGGCCCAGTCAAATGCTGGAGTAACTCAATGTGGAAATGGCTGCAGGCCAAGATAAAACAGTAAAATTGAAGAGTCAGATGCCTTCTCTCCCAACAGCAACAACATGTAAACCAGGTCCAAGAACAACAAAAGAGCCACAACACATGTCCACATGCTGACACATGCAATGTTACAGCTCAGTGGGGAAAACATCCTGTAGATCTCGTGATAATGAATTCACTGAGATTCATAGTATGAGACTGTGGGTGGGAAAGGGTTTTTGGGGGAAAAAAGAAGGTTATGGGGGAGAAATACTTGGAAATTTTAGAGCTCGAAGGATTTAAAGACCAATAGTCCAGCTCTCAAGTTTTACAGATAAGAAAACTGAAGCCTAAGGAAATTAGGTGTAGCAATGGAGATTGAAAGCATGGGCCCAGGAGTTAAAACTGTCCAGACTTCAGTCCTCAGGTCACCCTGGGACAGCAAGAATAACAAAACTCAATACTTTTAAGGATTAAGTAAGATAATACACACCAGTGCTTAGTACTGGGAATAATTACCCTCTATATCAATGACAGTGATAATAGCAGAGGACCTCACAGAGAGCCTACTATGTGCCAGGCCCCATTCCAGCCATCACTGCCATTGCTAAATGGCCCAAAGTCACACAGGTCATTAGTGGAAGTCTTGGGACTAGCATACAAATTTCATGAAACCACCCCATTTCTGTCATTAACACATTCTGGTTTTAGTGATTTCCCGTTTCAGTCATTTTTAGAGCAGGTCTCCTAGATCAGTGGTTCTCAACCTGTGGGTCGCGACCCCTTTGGGGGTCGAACGACCCTTTCACAGGGGTCGCCTAAGACCATCGGAAAATACATACATAATTACATATTGTTTTTGTGATTAATCACTATGCTTTAATTATGTTCAATTTGTAACAATGAAAATACATCCTGCATATCAGATATTTACATTACGATTCATAACAGTAGCAAAATTACAGTTATGAAGTAGCAACAAAAATAATTTTATGGTTGGGGGTTGCCACAACATGAGGAACTGTATTAAAGGGTTGCGGCATTAGGAAGGTTGAAAACCACTGTCCTAGATGCTAAGGGGAGTCAAGCACTCAGCCTACTCTTTATAGATATTGGCGCATGCTGGCTGAGGAACCAAGACTACTAACCAAAAGTATGAATGAAAGAAGAGCCCCAAGGATCTATCTACCCCATACTCGGGAATCTCAGATTCAGGTATAGGCTGGTTAGATAATAAGAAGTCCCATACCTGGCAGAACAAATCTATTACAGAGAACCCCCTATCATAACCCCGTGAAATGGATTCCAGGTATTTGCCAAGATACAGCCACATCATCCAATAAGCCATCAGACACCATACCTTGAGGAGTGCTGTGCTAGCAGCTGGCAACCACAGAGGAACCCAATAATTGTGAGGGTAAGTTCACACTGGGATTGGTTTCTCTGTGAAAACCTCACCCCATTTTTAGAACATGAATCACAAAGTGAGGCTTAGGATCATCACCACAAATGAGCAGTGACTCAGTACCAGCAGCAGCATTGACCGAGAGACATTACATATTTCATTGAAGTCTCCAGGTTGCCATTTCAGAGAGAAGCTTATTTCTCAGCATCCCTTACACACTAAAATTTGGGGATGGAGAATGAAACCAGTTGGCTCATAGGATTGGGAGTCATAGAAATAGATTTGTTACAGGAATTCATGAGCCCAGTGTGTCCAGAAATGCAACTGGCACCCTTTGAGATAGTGACCTGCAAGCAGTCTGCAAACTAGCTGGGGAGATGAAGCTACACAGAAGAGCAAACACAAGAAATCCAAGAAGAACTGCCTATTGGAGGATATACCGGAAATGCTGTTTAGCCACAGAGAGATCTGCAAGGGCTGGAAGCATAAGGCGCTGGGCTGGTTTCTTGGATTTGAAGGACATCCCTGGTTCTGGACTTTTGTGAGGGAAGAGTAAGGACATCCTTGGGACAGAGGATCAGCATAAGTGACGATTAAGATTCAGATCTTTGTGGGGCTTGTTTGGAGGCCAATGTAAAGGTCAGTCTGAAGAGAGCTGAGATGTCTACTGAGGAAATGTGGAGACAAAGGATTGGGGGCCTTAACAGCTGAGAAGAAGAGTTCAGTGGGAGATGGGAAGCTACTGAAAGTTCAAGAGTGACTCAAGCTAGGGGAGATTAACTTTCCTCAGACTCTTGATGATGGAAGCTATCGGCCTCAACGGGACCTCAGTGTGTCCCAAAGGACAGGAGGCAGCATCAGCAGGAGCATATCTTGGGTACTCTGTGCTGGGCCCATTCAGGGCCTGAAGGTTCAAGGATGAGCAGGACAGCATCACAGGCCTCAAGTAGCTTACAGTAGATTGCAGGGAGGTACGACAGCAACATAAAACAATCACACAGTAGTCTTTCTAAACTATTGGTAGGTTACCCATCAAAACACTAACAGCAAAGAGTAAGGGCTTTAAAAGACTACTGAGGCCCTGGATGGTGCCACTCACTTGGCTGGGCATCATACCATGCAATGAAAGGTTGCCAGTTCGATTCCCAGTCAGGGCTCATGCCCGGGCTGCAGGTTCAATCCCTGGTAGGAGGCATGCAGCAGGCAACCATTCAATGTCTTGCTCTCACATCGATGGTTTTCTCCTCCTTTCTCTATCTCTTTTCCCGTTTGTCTGTCTTCAAAATCATTTATTCTTCCTTCTATCATCTTCATTCTCCTGTTAAGCTCATCTTGTAAAGTTTTCTTCTCAGTTATTCAACTTTTCCATTCTAGAATTTTCTTTTGATTCTTTTATAGCCTCTATTTCTCTGTTGAAATGGCCTATTTATTCACTCATTATGACAATATCTTCCTTTAGTTCTCTTAACATATTAATAATAGCTGCTTTAAATGCTTTGTCTGCCAAATCCAACCTCTGAGCCATTTGGGGATTCGTTTCTGTTGACTTTTTTTAAAAAATATGAGTAATATTTTACTATTTCTTTGCATACCTAATCATAGCTAATGATACCCTGAAGACTTTCTGCATTTGATCTTTCTCTGAAGAGACCTGGTTTTTACCAGTAGTCAATCTGCCTGCTCACCCTGATCTTTCGTAGGCTTGGTCTTCTACTTTGTTGGATGGATTTATGAAAAGCCCATTTTCTGTCCTGAAGACAACACTTTTGGCAAATTTCATATGGTTTCAATCTGTACATGTGCACTCCAGCCCAGCCAAGGATTCCCTGGGCACACCCAGACTCACTTCTGTCCCCGCTTTCCCATGCAACTCTCTCCTTTCTAGTGCCCTGCTCTGCAGATTCCAGATGCTTCAATTGCCCCGTGCTCTGATCTCTGTTTCTTTGTTTCAACAGGACTGCTGTGACAGAGTAGACTCCAACATACTACCTCCAACCAGAAAACTCTTCCTTGGAAGAGGGCCAAGATTGTGACCATCAGACTCACCTCATGAGTTTTCCTTCTCTCAGGATCAAAATATTGTGCTTTCTGTTGACCAATACCTGGAAAGAGTTATCTCATACATTTATTCATCCAGGTTTGTGACTGTTTACTGCAGAAGGACTGGTTTGTTGCCAGTTACAGCCAGAATTGGAAGCCCTTCCCTGAAACATTCCTTTCTGACTTATGCTCATTTTTTTAAAAAAGGTCAGTTTAGATCATCCAAATTAGGGTGATTTTATACTGATATCCTGGAAATATCAATTAGGAGTTTTATAGAACTTTCATAAATCATATCATCTGAGAAGGAAAGGAGGGCTTCATGTAGCTAGATGGATTAATTCCATCCCTTCAGAACTGGGACAGAGCTTTATTTTGTATTATGCTCTATAATACCACTACATAATTCTTGTTTGGTTAGTGATCCAAAAGGGGTTATTTAAATCTGAGAATTTGGCCATCTTTGCCTTATATCTCTTTGCCACATGTATTCAACTAGACAGCTCCTTTAAAATTTTCTGCATCCACTTATTGGGTTGTGAGGCTACTGGCAAACACTGTCCAGCTGTCTGTTTGGGGTTTATGGAGAAACATCTTAAACTAGATCTAAAATTAGATCTCAATGCCAATTCCAAACCCCGAAGTAAGGCCTTAGCTCTTTTCTGATCAAGAACAAGCATCTAAATGTCAAAAGGAAAACTGAGGAAAAAAAGGAAGAATGGGAAAAATGAGAATGCATGGATTCTACATATTTCTTTAGAGCTTTCTTCAAAACAAGACATTCAACAAACTTACTGAGCATCTACTATGTACTCAGAATTGTGCATGTTACAAGGACACAAAATATCAAGCACGGTTTTATATTCTGAGACCTCTGTCACAGTGGGCTAGAGAAATCATAAAAGTTTAATAAGGAAGTCAAAGTAACCATGCTACTTGCTTCATAACTTCCCAGAATAAACAGAAGCCAGGAAGGCGCCGATTACCCTATGGCAAAGGCCTTCATCAGATAAAGGGTTTGGAATACTGCTCCTCTTCCTTTTTCCCCCCCACCCCCTCCTCTTCCTTTTTCTTCCAAATTCTTTTCTCCTATGAACATCAGAGTTCATGTCAATAGAACCTGAGCACAGTTCACTGGAGAACAGATACACACTCTCAATGAGCACACGTGTGCACCCACACTCGGACACACACATGCACACACACACACACACACACACACGCACACACACACTTCAATTAAACATAATTTTTATGTTTAAATATTCCTTTCTTTAAAAACAGACTGACCACTCTTTTTCTATCAGAAATTGGTGGGTAGAATGAACACTCCAGCCTCAAGTCAAATATATATGAGAAAGAACTTCAAAATGAATATATGTCATATTTTAACTATAATCAATATCTACCCATGATTCTCTATAAAGTAACTCTCTCCTATTTCTCTCTTTCACATCACACATACCATCATCCCCTATCCCTAGATGTCTGTTCTTGCTCCCTCTAAAGTCACATTATTTGTGTGTA